GTCATCTGATTAGTCGGCGTTAAAATTACCGCGATAAAATTGCTTGCGATTATATTACTGCGTTATATATGAACTAACTACCATAATATTAATATCTAATTTGGAATGCGTTCAGAAATGTACTAAAATAGCGTCGATGTAATGTACAGAGCAAGACAATCGTCATTGAAATTTCGAATTAAATTTTTACTGTTTAAGAAACATTGTCAATTTTTTTCTCTGTAGCACAGGGCCCCTGAACGTGGCGGGGCCCCTAGGCAGTTGCCTACAGTGCCTAATGGATAAAACGGCCCTGCCCTTAAATGTATACATAATATATTAAGGTGCAACGAGTAAAGAATAATTAAACTTTTAATAATCTCATTTTACATATTAAACTGCCCCTTCATAAATAAAATTATTATATTACAATTTTCACATGTATTTTGTAAAGAAACTAGATAAATCAGTGCCCTTAGCCATTTTTTCAAATTTTTCATCGATTCGTCGACTTTGATCTTCTGAAAAATAGTTTTTCCAATCGCCAACGACACCTTTTCTAACGAGCTCGCTGATAAGCTTAAACCTTTCGGACAAGTTTACGTTAGATTCACTTCTTTTATCACCAGCAGCGGGTGTAAGAGTATCATTCTCAACCACTAAATATTCTTTAATGGTATCGGGCACGGATGAGTTTGCAAATTCTTCTACACTCATTTTTGCTATTTCCTCTGATTGTTTCGTCATAAATTCTTTGGCTGCTTTCACACTACTGTATTGTTTGATGTTCTCCAAGATTTCTGGATTCTCTCTTATAGGTTGGGCATATTTCTCATCATCAATGAAAGACGCCATTTTCATGATGGCAGCATCAATGTCTTCTTTTAATTCCTCATAAGTTACAAACAAAACGTTTGGATTGTTTCTGGAAATAAAATAATGTATCAGTTTTAATATTGTTCCTAATAATACAATACAAATAATTTGAATGTAACACTACAAACTATTTAAATGTTCCAAACATTTTAATTAGGTTTTAAGTTTACCGACGACTGTGCCTTAAAGTAAGATGGAAACAAATGTTACCACATTTCGCCAACTTATTGCCAATTAATTTTTGAGCTTGCATTGAAAAAGGTGAAAAAAAATCTATAGAAGTTATAAAACGTTTGCAATCTATGCTAGTAGATTTTTCATTATAGACCATGGTTCGTATGGTTTTGAGATAACGTAAAAGTTTTATTAAAATTCTAATAAGGAAGTTTCAAATTTCTTTCTTATTAGTTTTCACCTTAGAATTAAAAAGAACCTTAATTATATAATTCGGAAATAGTAAGCATAGCGGTCCATATAAAACTATTAAAAAAAAAACACTTTATATTTTTAATTTTGCTACCTTTTTTTATGCTTTTACGGACCATGCAAACCCTGTTATAGACATAACTACTTGCATTAAACATGCATCAGTTATTAAAACAATAAATTTTGCTTTTTGACTAAAATCTGAGAATGTTTCATTAGAGTGAATTTCAAACTACTAAAACACAACCAGAGAAAATGCATTCTGACCAGTCAGGCAGCCTTTATGGACATAGCTAGACTTAGTTTATTACAGTTAGTCCATATATTGAAATTTTTGAAGAAAACATGTTTCCAATTCCAGTGTTTGTTATCGTAATCGAAATTGAATTGTTTATGTTTGATACTCTGTTGCAATTTTAAATAATAATTTTAAATAAATTTTCACAAGTTTTCAAATAGTTTGCTGCTGTTATATGAAGTATAAACCAGATAATAGTTCATTATGTTTTACGTATATTAATTATACCGACGTGCAAAAGAAAAATTAACGCAAGCGACAAAAAATTCAAACTTGAAATTTATATATATTTGGCATCTCTATACAGGACTGCCCCGGGCGACTGTTAATAATTGGAAATGCAAGTCATAGTAATGATTGAATTATTAAAGAGATTAAAAATAAATAAAAATTAATTGAGTTTTTCTACCACTTTTTACATTTTCAGTTGTCTGTGAGATCCCTGCTGTATGATAAACTATATGTTGCAAAAACATTTTTTTCAAAAACAAACTTTGTTTATCAGTTTTCTGAAAGTCTATTTTAGCGTTCATAGCATTATTAAGAGAAAGAAAAATATTGTCAAGCAACTTTTCTCGGAATCTATCATGAAAAGCACTTTATACCACTTCATCATTGTTAATATAAAACCTACGGATTGGAGACAGCATTTCTTTACAACAATCTAGTTAAGAATATGGTTACTACTTGATACATAACAGTTAAGTTTGTTTTTAAGTTTAGCTTTACTATGGGAAGTCGAATCCGATTCAAGTTATGAACTACGAAAACTTCACCATACTGATTAGGAAGATTTTTAAAATTGGAACAAGCATTGGAAATCTTATCATTATTTCTCGCGGAAAAAAAACCCATTAGTTTTTCTGCGAGTTGTGCTTTATATATGCACAGTTAGGTAAAAAGACAATATTTTTGTCTAGTTTTGGTTGCTTTATTTGTAATTGAGCTCAATATTTTAAAATCAATTTTCTAGAATTTAATACATAATGTTTATTACAAGTTTAAATAATTATGAAACATAGCCCTTATTCCCACGAAAATGCTTTCGTTTACAAACTTGTTCTCTTTAGTGGTAGGGACGTTTCTGCATCTTTATTGTAATGAGAGCTAAGTGTCACGTAGCACGTGGAGATGTGCAGATTTTTATGAAAAGAGTCACGTAGCACGTAGAGATGTGCAGATTATTATGAAAAGAGTCACGTACCACATGGAAATATAGCAGATTATTATGAAACGTGTCACGCAGCACATGGAAATATAGCAGATTATTATGAAAAGTGTCACGTAGCACATGGAAATATAGCAGATTATTTTAAAATTTATCATGATCACTGGGAAAAGTTGCAGATTACTATAAAAAAAAGTTTCGTGTAGCAAAAGTAGATAGGTAGGTCGGTACTTCATTTGCGTCGTACTAGAGCTGCGCAATGGGCTAATGGCTACGGTCTGGGAAACATCCCTGAGGATGATCTGAAGACATGTCATCGCAATTTTGATGAGGATTCCTCTGTTTTGGTAGCCTGACGTTCTGCTTGCGAAGTCGATCACTTTACGGTACAACAGTTTAACAATGACCGATACCGCGCACCCTGGGTCACTACGCAGGCTGATCAAAATGATCACCCACCCGTTTACTCACTGCAGCCTGTGATGCTTGCACAGGCACATAGTAGAACAAGCTTCTTACAAGCTATAAATACAGTAGTCTACTAGTCGTGAGTTTGAGTACTGATATAGTATTACGGCTTTCTTTTTAACTCGACAACAATGGTCAAATAATAATGTTTTTGACTGAAGAATGCTCAGATTTGCTGGATTAATAAAAATAATATTTTTTAATCTATGAAAACTTAATAACTAACAGGATAACAAGTGAACACTTAATACAAACCTGTGAGAGTACCAGGACAGCACGTGGTCAAAGTAATCTCCGAAATAGACGGTCTCCGGTAATCCTGTCATGAAATATTCAAAAAACTGGTCAAAAGTCCCTTCGAAGTTATTTCCTGGTATATGCTTGGAGTAATGGAAGAATGACACGCAACAGTCTTTCGGATTCCTGGCCACGTAGATGTATTTGGCATCTTTCGACCAAGGTATCAGATGAAATGGCAAATGTGACTTGATTATCCCTGGTTTTGACATAATTTCTATTCTTTTTGCTCCTGTGAATAAAAATTTTCATGTTAAAATTATTCGCTGTCTTAAATTTCATATCATTGGAAAAATTTAGCACTTCCATGCTGCATCCCACAAGTAATGCACACGTTCGCTTTTTAGAAACCTTGTAAATAATATAGTATAGAAAAAACCTGAATCAAGATTAATATATAACCGAGGTAATTAAGATTAATAAGTGAATAAAGATTAAGTGGGAGAGAACACAAATATTTTCAAATTTTGACTAATAATTATTGAAGCCATAAAAGAGAAAAGAAGTGTTAAAATCTTCTAAAACCGGTTTTTAGGAAATTGAAGCATAAAAGCAGTTCATCCCACAGTAGACTTAGATTTGTTTTCCAAACAGTTCAAAAAACGCATATATATA